TTCGTTCTCTAGTTAGCAGATTAGTGGACATCCGAGTCCGAATGCTGATTCCGATTCTAGCCGAAATGCAAAATGTAACAATTTATTCCATTATCTCTTCCCCACCCATGTGGCGGATCCGGGGGACGGGGCATTTGGAGAAAATGACATGACCCCCCCCCCCCCCCTGTTGCCCCAAAATAGACGCAATTTCACTTTTTTCCGAAAATAAAAGAAAACTAAATATCTTTATTCTTTTATCAGGAAAAATTGGTTTAACTGCACAACAGTGCGTAAGGCGTAAGAAATCGAAATCCGATTATTTATGTAATGTCAGCGCTGCCTAGGACCCAGGGGCAGCCGTCATGGGACGGGGCCGGCCGCTACCCCGGGCCGGCTATGTCACATGCTTTCGCCTCGGACCGCTTAAAACGTAGCGCTCGCCGTCTATCGGCCATCGGGTCCCTCCGTTCCGTCCCTTCCAAGTTCCATCCTCAGGATACTGAAATCCTTCTCCTCCACGCCGCAACCCCCACTCCGGGCTGGGCAGGCACCTTTATCTCATGCAGGCTGCTCCCTGAAGCGGCACTGCTGCTCCCGTGAGGGAGCGCACCCCGTAGCCGGGTGCAGAGAGCGCTTGGAGGGCTGGTCGGCCTGTCCATTCGGACGGGCTCAGCTCCGGCGACTCTTTAGGGTGTCTGCCCAGACCAACCAATGTCTCCCCCTAATTCCTATCATCCTTCCGGCTCTGATATGGTCTTGTCAGACCGAAAGGGCCTAACCCAACAAAACAAAAGAAACAAGTCTTTCGGGGCTCTTCGAGGCTGGCAGCGTCCGAGGTAGGTGACTGCTCCTGTTATTTGGCTGGGGGGTTGCATCCCCCCACAGTGGGTATTCTTGTCCAAATTTTAGTTGCGCGTCTATTCTTTAACTGTCGCAACTCGCAGTCTGTTTTTATGTTTTGGCCCTATGTTATTCGGAATAATAGCGTTTTCTAAATCTTGCACTACTGCGGAGAGCCGGGAATATAATATGGCGATATTTGACGGAAACGCTAAATCTCGCGTGGTTCACCGTTTATAACCGGAATTAGTTGATAAAGAGCCTGAGAACTGACACAGCCCGATGGGACCGCAACCCACCACATGGTTCAAAGTGCGCAGCATCCCACTGGAACCAGAACCGATCGATTGTAGTGCACTGCACTGGGTGGCAGACGGTGCGGCACACACTGTTATTATAGTTGTAGGCGTGTCCTAGACATGAGCCTCGTTTAGCAACGACATAGTATGATAGGAACCAACCTTTCGTGTTATCCCATTTAGACACTTTTTGGGGGTATGCCCGTCCCGCACCGTCCAAGACTGCCTTTATGGATCCGTCAGTGCTTCTACCGAAGCACAAAATAAAAATATGTGATTCCAGTGGCTAGAGTCCTGGTTTGTTCATGTCGTCATGAGAGGTGTTACGAATAACTGCATAAAACAGGATTTTATAAGCGGTTAGCTTACATGCTAGGTGCATTCTTACTCCACTCACTGACCACAAACTGTCGCGCGCGACTTCTCCCACCAACTATTCGACCGCGAGCCAGCCCCGTCCGAGACGCGCGAGGAGAGGCCTGCAGTGAATAATATATACTGCAGTGCATATCCCCACTTAAAAATTCCGTCACGGAGGACGTCTTGTTTATGGAGTAGGTACTGCGGTACCTTGGAGCGTATAGCTACCAACGATAGTTTACTACTACTGAAACACTGAGATTAGACGTTTAACTTTAATTTGTAAATAAGTCTATCAGCGAAACGAATACGCTTAAATGCCGAGAAAACACGCCAGGGTCAATAAAGCCCAACATTTTGAGCATTACCATATACTCGTAAGTATCAGAGCGGCTTGACAAGTCAACGTAATTGGCAGTCTGATCCTGAACGAAGTAAAACTAAACACATACCCCTGAGCCAGTCCACTGTACGAGTGTCATATCACCTACAGACGACCGGCATCACACATCCAGCCGAGCCGTTCCGATGGAGACGGGCCAATGGAGTCGGTCGTCCGATAGAGCTGGCCGTTCCTATGGGCGATGGAGACGGCCGCTCCGATGGAGCCGGCCGTTCCGATGGAGCCGGCCGTTCCGATGAGGCGCCGGGCGGCGTGTGCGCCGTCAGTTAGCGCACCGCTCACGGTCGGCTCTCCCGCCGAGGTGCGGACGCTTATGATCAGACAGTGTGTCGGCAGCCCGCCGGAAGGACGCTCGGACTCCACTCGCCGACTGGGACCAGGTGAGTTAGTCGGGGTCGCTGAGGTGACGTTATGGTGGCGAAAGTGATGATATTAGACGTAATTAATTAAGTGGGACTGTAAATTTCCCTTCTAGTTGGTTTTAATGTGTTTGGGGATTTTGATCTAGGTAATAGGATTAAATTTGCGATATACTTTTAAGACATTTAATTCATAATCAATGCATCTCAGATACCAAGCTGACCTGCGCCAGGGCAATGCAGTGCAGCTCGTGACAAATCAAGGCGAGGGGGAGCGTGGATGCCCCTTTCTCACTCATCTTCGGCCAAGCAGTGAAACGCTCCACATATAGGCGGCATTGAAATAGGCGTAAAATCATGAAAATATTTAAATTTGTTTTAGGTCAGGTCAAAAGTGAGATCAAGAGACCTCATCAAAGGCCAACAACTCAAAGATTGAATGTTTAGAACATACCTAAGAGAGGTTCATGAAATAATGCCGGGGTATAGGCAGTTGTGTAGCTGGGCAATGCGGCAGGCGAGAAACCGTCTCCCCGCCTTTGTCCTCACGCCGGGAAGAGTCAGATCAGTGTCCCAGTGGGCTGGGCGGGAACGCAGGAAAGAGCTGGGTGGGTTTCCATAGGAAACAGTCTTCAGTACTCTGCAGCGAGTTTTGTGGCAGAAGTTGACTTCGTGCAACTGACGGGCGGCAGGCCAGCCGTGAGTTCTTCCCGCACATCCGATATGTCGTCGAATTTTCGTTGGCCGAATATAGCACTGCAGCGCAAAGTTTATAGCTGTTCGCCGACGTTGTATATTTTTGTCCGACTCGTTTCCGACGCCTGCTATATGTAGACAGTAGCAAACGTGCGAGAGGACCAAGGCGCTAGGTTGGCAGGAGTTCACTAGGGATGTGGTGACGCACGCGGGACAGGTCGGCGAGGATACCGTTGCATTTTTAGACGAGAGCCGATGCGTAAGGGTCTCAGGTGAGGTGTTTGTCGAAAATGACGCCGAAGGCTCACTGTTAAACCGTCACGGATCGTGTCCTCATGGGTCCGAATCGAGATGAGACCCAAGCCACCGAAGTTAAGACGAGAGCCGAATACGATGAAGAAGCTGGTTTGTTAACAAACATCAAATGAATCCGGAAATTGTCCCATGTGACAGTGTGGAGAAGGAAATTATGGCCTCCCACTTCCCGATGGAGGCCCCAATTCCCTATCTTGTCTAGACTCTCTTTTTCTATGGCATTTGCCGCGACATGACCAAGAAAGTCTGTCTTGGTTTGTGAATCAATTTTGATACGAGACAAGACATCTGCTTTGACATTTAACTTTGCTGGGACATAAGTGACATCAAAATCGTACTCTGTTAATTTCAGAACCACCTGGTTAGACGACCACCAGGGTTGGTCGACTTGAAAATACCTTTCAATGGTAAATGATCGGTCATGATATGAGTAAAATGACCTAAGAGATAGCAACAGCGAGGTCGAGGCGAGGAGGGGAGTCCTTTTCCCCAGAAAGTAAAATTTTGGTATCATCACGTATTGTAGCACGTGCGCCCCAGGTGCGAAAAATGGGAGGTCAATGGCAGAAATCTGGAACAGGAGCAGGCCCACGAGGATCCTCGGAACACGCCGATAGGATTGGGTAAGGATCGGAGAGGACTCGGTTTGCTCGCGCGACAGCTGTTCAGACTGTATATGTGTCGTCACCGAGGTAAGAGGAGAACCAGGCCGGATCGTTAGAATATGTTTGAAGTTTGTACACTTGTGGAACGTTGAATGGTCGATGACATCAAAGCATTTGGAAAGATCAAGGAGACAGAGAAAGATGGGTGCCTGACGGTCGGTGGCAGAGACGATGTGATCGGATACGGTGGCGAGAGCGGTTTCTGTGGAGAGACGAGAGCGAAAACCGTGCTGAAATGAGGAAAATTGATGGTTGCCAGGCACGCAGATGTCAAGCTGCTGCTATGCCACTGTAAACTGTTCCAACAAGTTTGGCGAAGGCAGGTACTTCAATAGAGAAAGGGCAATAATTTAAACGATCGGTAAGATTACCTAGGATGGAATGGACGATGAAGTGCTTCCAAAAACGCAGGAAATAAACAGGTTGTTTATTTGTTTATTATCACCAAGACACCCACAGGCACAAAGAGCCCACTTACGGATGCAGTCACATAGCTAAAAAGGTTGTGAGACAGGTGTAGACGAAGTAGAGAAAGATAAGGCCTATGACATCAAAATTGGGGCTAGAGCATCGCACAGATAAACATTCGATGGATCTTTTAATGTCATTTTGCTGGTGTGTTCTCAAACTTAGGCTATGGCCAACGGCCTCCAGAGGGCAAAGATTGTAAAAAAATAACTTTGATATAACATTCATTTTACCGGTGTCGTGATTCTGGTGTTCAGACGCGTCGAGCGAACGCTGCCTAGACATTAAGAAGTCAACAACAAATTTTAACCCGAGGTAAAGGTCATGATTTGAATAATGTCATTAAAGAATGCGAGTGATTTCCTCCCGTTTAAACTATTTTGGAGAGGTCCAATAAATTTACCTGGCCATAGGCCTATTGATATAAAAAAACTTAGAAGTAGGTAGGTGTACAACTAGTCTAGCTATATTGTTGGTAATGCTTTTTTTCTTCTATAAACCATGAAGGTTCTATAAACTAGATTAGAACAGCGCATTTATCAAAGCACCCCTAACCAGTGTCGTCCCCCTGGTCCCCAGTTTACCGTCCCACGGAGGCCGGGCCGCGGCAGCCATGCCCTGGGGCCGTCTGGCGGGTCACGTGAGGAGGGTAGCCCGCGGCGGTCGGGAGGCAGACGAGCCGCCGCATCTGGGGAGCGTCCAAAGGACAACTGCCAATGGCATGTGGGCACAGCCCATACAGCTTCCCGTGAGTAAACGCCGCGTGAGTGGGCATACAGAAACCGGAGACGGCGAACGGTCCTGCGGGCCATGTATCAACAATTGCTGATGTGAAAATGTGGAACGACGATTAAATTACCGTATTTGTGAATACTTTTATGCATTGTAGCAGCTATTTGACGCATCAATGAACATAAATCATGACAAAAATGTAAAGAAAAATGTCTCCCTTAAAACTATTAATGAAAAGGTTTGATTCTTATTGGTCGCTGCATCTTCCTTCTGCATATCGTAAAAAAATGGCGTCCACGGTCCAAAAGTCAAGCTATAGCTTGACTTTTGGACGTGATCGTTCATTAACGTTCATGATTGTAGGTGTGTCCTCGCAATGGAACACGACTTGAGTGTCTGTTTCGCTGCTGTAACACCTGCCCGGACCAGCAGCTGGAGTCGGGTCCGGGGCCGGTCCCGGTGCCTATGCTCAGCCCTTCGGTGGCCACCGTGGTCAGGAAATGGCGCACCCGGGTCCGCCTGAGCGCCCCCAAGAGCGCCGCCGTCCAGCCGGTCGCGCCGCCGCCGCCCGACGGCACCGAACAGCTCTGCCTGGTGGCCAAGAGTCCGTACCGAATCCTTAGGGTGAGTATATCGAATGGGACTGCAGGGGTGGAGTTCCGAACAGGCATAAGGAAAAACTCGGATTTTCGCTGCGTAATTTTCCCATCGTTGTTCCGGGCTTTGCGGGGCCTTCAATGCCTCACAAGTCACAATTTACTGTGGGTTCTTCACAAAATTAAAAAAAAATCAGAGAAAGCTTCTCTGACAAGCGAGACGAGCAGCGAAAGTCCGCACATTTCATCAATCGGCCAAGCGGAGAGTCGCCTGCCTGGAGGGGTATACTGTCCCGCCGTACTTAGTTGTTATGCGGCACAGTATGCGCCATCGGCTCGGCCCGCCGTGCTGGCCTGTGTAATCCACGCCAGTCATTACAGGACGGTTGACGTCTCGTCCATCTTACAGTAGTTTCGGGGAATTTTTGGAGAATAACTGCCATATCCCTTTATTTCGGTAAAACGTTATAAGGCACGACCGATTAAAAGCATTGCAATAACTTAAGTACGACACAATTGCCATATACGTGTATCAAGTCATCATATAATTGTACTCATAAACGTAAAGTACGTATTATTCAGTAACATGATCGACGAGTTCCATTGTATAACACATTTATGATGACTAGACAACAAATAAATAACACATTTAGATCGTTGGAGTATCTATGATTCGCTCATAATAAGACAACTATAAAATCAATACATTAATACTTTATTTAGGGAAATAATGCCATTCAATGAAAGGTGGTCTGGTTACGCTGAAAGGTACTGCCACATGACTTATTCCAAACTGGGTGTTTGGATGCAACCATGCGCGCACAGCAGTAGCACAGCCGACTGAGTGTACTTGACCAGCGCTGCATTATTGTCTGCAGTGCGCCGCGGCGGGCAATCTGAAGCGGTTCCAGGAGCTCCATTCGGAGGACCCCAGCTGCCTGGTGTTCAGGGACGCGCAGCGGGGTCGCACCTGCGCCCACTACGCCGCAGCCGCCGACAAAGTCGAGATCATCAAATACATTGTGCTGGCTGGAGGAGGTAACATTAAACTGTCTTATTATGTTTTACTTTCATCAATTTTTACCGGTCAATTTTATGATTGATCGTAATCGATATGACGTAATTACATATAGCTTTGTTCGCAAATTTATATTTTTGCGATTGTCTTTCGTTTCAGACATCAACATCACTGACAACGATGGCCAGACCCCTCTGCACGCTGCCGTTGAGAGCTCCAGTCTGGAAGCAATCAAATGTCTACTGGAATGGTATGATTGAAATTTCGAGCCTTTTATTGTCAACGAAATGTGCTGGAACATAACGAATGTATAACTACCTACTGCCTAGTGCTTTCCATGATACATACAAATATGATTCATAGCGAATGGCTCCGCATGCATTGCCTGCATCGAAACCAAGTAAACCAAGCATGTTTACTCCGGATGCAGCCAAAGTAAGCCAGGGGTTTTATCTGGTGTTACCCTAGGCTTAGTTGAGCTGGGGCCTTGACATTCAACATGCGCTACAGCGCGCTACGTGTAGCGGTGGCCGGTGTATATTGGGTTTTCATGGAAACATCCACAAACTCGGGCGCTCGCAATACTGAAGGGTCACGGCGAGTTCGTCGCAAGCGCCGCACCAATACTGTAGCGCAGCGTAGCGCACTATAGCGGCGTGCCAAGAAATACTGCCCTGATCTCGTGCTTCATTTCACGCATCGTGACACCAAATAACGAAAGTCCATCAGTTATATTTGACTCTGCATAACCTTGACGCTTTTCGGTGCAATATATCATCGTTTTAGGGTACCATAAATCTTAGTCGTAAGCGCATTGTCGGAAGTCGGACCTATCCTCTTAGACGAATGGTTATGTTATCTGTCTGTCTGTCTGTCTGTCTGTTTGTCTGTCTGTGATCTGAAGACAACTGACGGCGAGACTGAAGCGCTGACGTCATAAGTCTGTGTCCGGCCGGGGCGCCGTCACAGACTGAACCACTGACGTCATTAGTCTGTATGCGGCAGGGGCGCCGTTACAGACTGTCTGAAGTCTGAACCGCTGACGTCATTGAGTCTGTGTGCGGCAGGGGCGCCGTCACAGACTGTCCGGACCGCTGACGTCATTGAGTCTGTGTGCGGCAAGGGCGCCGTCACAGACTGTCCGGACCACTGACGTCATTGAGTCTGTGTGTGGCAGGGGCGCCGCCACAGACTGCCTGGACGCCTCGCTGCGCTCCCCATTCCACCTGGCGGTGTGGCTGGACCGACCTCAGTCACTGCGTCTGCTGGCGCAACACCGGCGGCTGGTGCGAGCCGAGCAGCTCACCGAGCACGGCAGAGACGCCCTACACGTGGCGGCCGTGCGCAATCACGCCCAGTGCGCCGAAATACTGGTGAGAACTGAGACGGTGTTACAAGGGGAGAAGGAGGAAGCAAAACAGGATTTAGAACAAGGAGCCGGACACGTTGAAATGGCCATCGATCCTGTTCGCTTAACACTTAAATGAAAAAAATAAGGCGTTCATTGCAGCTTTCGTCGTTTGTGAATATAGTCGCCTGTTTGATTTTCTTAAAGATTTGTGTGACGGATGTCTCTAGTAAAATAAAATGTTTATGAATGTAAAACAATAAGTTAACACCGTATTTATCATTTCTTTCTATTTCGGTCAGCTGGAGGAGTTCCAGATGCTGCCGGACCGGTTCTGTAAGAACGGCTTCAGCCCGGTTCACGAGGCGGCTCGGCGGGCCAGCTTTGACACCATGTTGGTGCTGACTCGGTGGGCGGCGCGGACAGGACGCTCGCTGATGCAGAATCCCGACTCCGAGGGAAACCTGCCGCTGCATCTGGCCGTCCACTCCGGAGATGTGAAGGTCAGCATTCGTAATTCGTATCATTCCGATTCCGAGGAAAATCGACTATTTTTACTGGTCGCAAGCGTTAGTGTGTTAGTGTTTTTTAGTCGTTAATCTCTCAGGCTCGTTGAGTTTTAGTGCCCGTTGACAGAGATGCCATTATTTGCCATGCTTTGTTTTCTACGGATTGATCCGATTCCGGTACATTGCCATTCAGGGAGTAAAAATGCCTATGGATGACGATTGCTGTGCTCCCTATTTATAACATCATGATTAGAACATCCCTATTTAGATCTTTAGTTGACGATCATATGCTCGCTCCAGCAGTTTGCATTATTTCAGGCAAAAGCTGGCATGCGTCTAATGCCTCCATTCATGTGTTTCCTCTTATCCACAGATGGTGGAGCTGTGCCTTCAGCGGGGCGCAGACATCACCAATACCCAGAGCGACCTCTCGACGCCCGTCCACCTGGCCTGCGTCCAGGGATCCATGGAGATCACCCAGCTCATGCTCCGAACACAGGTGCGGCTTCATTATTTCAACTCTGAAGAAGAGACGCGAAAAAGTCGGGCGAAATCGTTTAAAGCCATGATGATCGACTTAATCATAATCAAAATTAAATATATCTAATCCAGTCACATCATTAGCTGGCCGATAGCTCCTTTCTTTGAGAACAAATGAGGGCAAAAAAGATCGAACGATTCGTACATCTCCAAGCATAAGACCTGATATTTCGTATCGTTTTCTCTGTCACAGTCGAAGGACGCGATGGCCGTTCTGGATATGCGGGACTCCGCCGACATGACTCCGCTACATTGCGCCGCCAAGTTTGACCACAGCGCGCTGGTCGAATTCCTTCACTCAAAGGTAGGCCAACCACACCAGATAATGTGGCACTCACAATCAGTGGCATTTTTAAATGGTATAAGAAACGGTCGCAATACATTCACAGTTCACACTAAGTACTTGCACGACAGAAATAGGAGCGTGCAGCGCAGCGCGGTGAAGACTAGCCACTGGCTAGGTATACTGTACCGCACGACACGCGTGTAATGCGGCGCAGTCTATAGTCGCACTCATCCGTCTGTTGTGGCTCCCCGCTGTTTGCTCTTATCGTTTTCTGCATTGTTTCACTTCGCGTTGAACTCTGTGCTATACGGAAACATGCACTACATTCAGTTTTATTCCATTTTGCTGCATCATCCTTGTCGCCTATCGGATGAATGGGACACACCCATTACCGTGCCTCCTCGACCAGCGCAGTCCCGCCTGTCGTGCGTGCTTCCCCGTCCACTCTATTAGGGAGCGCTCTATTAGAGATCTGTTGACCTGACTTCCTTCGTATAGCTTATTCGTGCTCCCCCAACGTGTCCTCTCTGTCAGGGTGCGGACCTGTCAGCTGTGGACAGCGAGGAACGAACCCCGCTCCTGCTGGCCGCGTCTCGCTCCTCGTGGAGCGCCGTTACCACCCTGGTGAGCCTCGGGTCCGCCCTGGATCCCATCGACAAACGGGGCAGGAACATGGTACACTACATCGTCCTGAACGGCGGCAGACTGGGACAACTGATGGACTGCAAACTGGTGAGTGGCGATAAAAATAGATAAGCCGATATTATCATCGTTGGAGGCATTGTTGAGGTAGCTCGAACAAAAACATGTTGATAAACAAGCATCATATATTCCTAAATCGAGGAACAATTCGCCAAACTTTTTTAGCCAGCTATACCGATAATATTATGCAGCGTTTGTGTGACGGACATGAACAAGCGACAGGCATGTTCACGTCTATTTACAGGAGAGCATGGCGTCCGTGGCGGCCATGCTGAACCGTCAGGACGGCCGCGGCTACACGCCGCTCCATTTCGCCGCTCGGGACGGCCACCTGGCCAGTCTGAGAGAGCTGATCGAACAGGGCGCCTGCACCGATATCAAGAACGCCAGTAACGAGAGTCCGCTCCACTGCGCGGCCCGGTCAGTGGCCCGACCCCTCCCCCCCCCCTGAATACCGGGCCATCAGTCCACCCCGTCTGTAACCGGGCTGACGTAACCCGACTTATCCCCCCTCCACCGCTCCAGACGATCGGCTCAATCGGTCAACTCTGTCTGTAAACCGAGCTGATGGGGCTTGACTGAGCGACCGGTCTTACCGCACAAATGAACCAATTTGTGCAACACCATGTGAAATATAGTCGGAATGGGGTCATTCACGCACCATTTGCTGGTTATTGGCCCAGTGGGCGGAAGATAGATGGATCATTGCGCCAGCCGTTACGTAACATGTGTCAGTTGAATTAGCGCCCGTCACGATCGGCGGTGACATGCAGCAGGCATGTTGTGACCTGTTGTGACTGGACAAGCGTAACATGCTATTTGTCTAGGTCACCTCAGGTAGAATCTTTATCACACTGGTCCATTCTCATCATTTTCTTCAACCACATTTGGAATGTGCGATTCAGTGTTTATTGATAAATATTAGAAAAAAGTATAAATATGGTTGCAACTCTGATAAGTATTCCGCAGATTCGGGCGCTACTATACGGTCGAGTGTTTGCTTAGCTCTACCAAGGGCCAGCAGATCATGAACGGCATCGACAGCTCTGGTCGCACACCCCTGCACATCGCCAGCCAGAACGGTCACCTGCGCGTAGTGCAGCTGCTGATCGGCAAGGGCGCCCTGCTGAACCGCGACTTCGAGGGTCTGACACCCCTGCACCTGGCCACGAGGCGCGGCTTTACGCAGACGATGAACCTGTTGCTGGGCACGCACAGTCAGCTGCTCGACCAGCGCGACAAGGCAGGGGTGAGCGACCATGCCCCAGGCAACAGATCCCAGGCGCTTGTACAGCTCGTGTGCGCACCTTGATTTTGAGCGTAAATAATGATTAGAATGTTGATGGTCACTGATACACCTTTGTGAGAAATGAAAGTGAAGGCATCTGATCAGACCTGTCCCGTCTACATATATCGTTATCTCACGTACGGAGCTGATCCGAGTCCCATCTCAGAGCAGTATCCCATCAGATCACATACCCCAGGCCTGACCTCACATCTGACTCCCATCACCGCGTCCCTCAGAACACCGCGCTGCACCTGGCCTGCCTGGCCAACCGTCCCTCAGCGGCCGGCCTTCTGCTCTCCATGGGGTGTGAGATAGCGGCCAACGGGTCCGGATACACGGCACTGGACATCTGCATCAAACACAAGCTGACCGAGACGGCGAGGGTGCTGCTCACCACCCCCACTGCGAGGTAACGTACGAATATTTGTTTGTTTATTGGGGCTTTGGGGCGCACCGACTACAAGGTCAATTTGCGCCCATAAACGTACGAGTAGGTATCTAACAGTTGCAATCAATATTACGGAGCGCCATTAAGGGCTTATACAATGATTGTGTCGTTTTTAGACGTTTTGATGTTACGTAAAAAAAATACACCTGAATATTACCGTGTCAGTAAACCATTATTAAATGTCCGCCGTCGATGCAATTAGCGAAACATTCCGTCATTTAGCTAATTACCAATTGCAAATATTTTAATTCATTAGGCACCGAGTCTAAAATGCAGACCATCAAAATATAACGGAATGCCGTTCACGTAATTACACCGTTACAATAAAAGCAATGGTCAGGTTCATTGTCACCACTCAAATAAACATAATTGGTTCTACTTATACCCCGGAGGCCCGTTTTAACAGTCCTGCACCCGGTCCTTGTGCCGGCAGCACCGCGCTACTGGCCGACACACAGGGTAAGAACAAATACATCGTGGCCGCCCTGATCGACGTCATGCCCAACATCATGAAGACCATCATGGACAAGCACATCGTCTTCTCCAACTGCAAACGAAATGACGAAAAATTCACGGTGAGGTGATTTGGGGAAAATGTTATAACGGTACAGCTGAATGCTATAGCTAAAGCACAAAGCGATTGAATAGAATAGTGGAGCATGATGCTCGTCAATTACTTTTGGACACGATAAGTAATTCTCGTCAGCTCTATAGTGCCTACTTTATAATGTGAATAATTTGTTTCAGTAAGCGTATCGATGCGCTATAGAATATGCCTATAACAATACCATTTTACACAAAGGCAGACAATGTCACATAATACGTCTGACCATCGCGTGTGTCTCGAAAATTGACCACCATTCAATTTCGCGGAACCCAATGATCCGCACCGCATTAGTGGCCTTACAATCCCGCTCGGCAGTTAGCAATCCCAGAAATTCAATTCAATGTCAAAACGTTGTCGATTACCTATTACGAGGCCCGACAATATGGGCAATGGACGACCGTTTAATGTCTGATCGCCTAGCTGGATTTTCTGGAACGTTCGAGCCGCGTGCTATACGAGCCAGTCACGCGATTCAGCAAGGCATTATTCGGACGGTAATTTAATCAACATATCTCCCTCTCCCCCTTTGTCATTTTCCACCAGATAACATACGACCTGAGCTTGTTTGAGCCGAACGACAGGCAGGTGACGGCCATCCGAAAATCCCGCGGGGATAACAGGTGGAAGCCTCGGCCACTCACTGCAGTCAACGTAAGCACCCGGCAGTGTAAAAGCATGTCAGAGGCAGAGCATAGGTACATGCTGTCACGCTATTTTGCAGCGCAACACTAAACATGAAATATACAAATGTAGCTATGTAACATGTAGCTATTTTCTCCGACTGTGTGAAAACGGGACTGAAAATATTGTCATTCAGACCAGTGCCGAAACGTTATTTCTATAGCAAAATCATGCGTAATATTTAATTGACAAACATGATCTCGCATGGGACCGACGTCGATAAAAATTTACCAATAGTTACCTATTGGCGCCAATCAAACTTTCAATCCCACTCGGCCTTTAACCCTATTAGTGGCAGGGGGGGGGGGGGTTGTTTTTATCCACCCCTCAGGTTTTTCGGGAATACCTCCGAAACCGCTGAAGCTACGATGCTGAAATTTTCTGACTTTTCCTAAAACTAAATTGGGCACATTCCCTGAAAATTTCAAGTTCATAACTTTACCAGGGGCGGCTCCAGAGCACTGAGAATTGGGGGGTCCTATTCGTGAAGCGAGTCATTTGGGCGAAGATCACGATGCTGCACCAGTTTTACGAACAGTGAATGAAAGGTATCATGTGATAACATATACAAAGTTATTGTGCATCCTCTTTTGACACGTTTTTGCTATAATAGGCGGATCCAGGCGTCCAAAAAGGGGGGTTATTTTTTACCTCCCAACATAGGTGCCCTGACACCGCCTATGCATGACCAATACATTTTTAGTCGTTCTCTCATAAGAAAATTGTAACATAACAAGACCATTGCCACCCTTTTTAGAAACAGTACCAACAAAAACCTTATTTACTATACTTTTTGTGTACCCCCAATCTCAATGATCTGTATCCGCCTATGATTTTTGAAAATGCATATTTTTAGGATCCATGTGAATTCCTGGTTCATTTTCTATCGATCGGCAAAAGTTGCGTTAAGATTGGTTCAGAAACCTGGCCGTGATAAACAGTCTAAAATGTATCTGCAATTTGCCCGTTTTTACCCCCCTCTACCCCCCTATTGACATTTTTTAATTTTACTTTTTTTAGAAATGTAGATCTCGTTGAGCCACATCGAATGCCGTTTGAATTTTGAAAATCGGCCCGTTAGATCTCGAGATATCAAGGGGGGGTCGTAAACAGCCCCCCCCCTGCCACTAATATGGGGTAGCCAGGAGCCTGCCACTAATAGGGTTAAATGTCCAATTGTAATTTTCTATCACATCGACGCAAATAATTTTTCTTGCGGTGACGGCCCCGACCGACCCCGTCCCTCTGCTGCAGCACATGGTGCGTCACGGCCGCATAGAGCTGCTGATGCACCCGCTGACGCAAAAGTACCTGGCCATGAAGTGGCAGGCGTACGGCCGGATCTGCCACATGTTGTCGATGCTGCTGTACGCAGTGTTTGTGGCCCTGGTGACGGCGCACGGGGTGCACCTGCTGCGTCTGGTGCAGCACTGTCCAGCGCTGCTGCAGACGGACGGATATGTCAGCTGGGAGGAGTCGGACGGCCTACAGCAGGGCTGCGAAAACTCCTCAGAGGTGGGCTGATAGAACTCAAAGGTGGACTCATAGAACTCCTCAGAAGTAGAATGAAATAACTTCAAAGGTGGGCTATGTGAACTCTTCAGAGCTGGGCTGTAGAAAATAACACGTGGGCCGCCAAAACTTCTCAGTGTTAGGTTCTGCAAATCAAGCGTAAAAGGAACGAGAAGAAACGAATGGATTTCATTCAGAAAGTCCTTTTACTCAAAAGCCAGAATGTACATGTCGAATTTCCATCGTGTGCATGTGTTAACATGTAAAATAGGGTATCGTGAAGCCTGCATTGTACTGATTAATTTGCCCTTTATACCTGCTGCAAATGAAGTTAATCGGCGCGATAATGCTACCGCTTCTTTCAGGATTGGGTGACAAACGGGTCATCGATTACGGAGCAAATAACAATGATCGCTGTTATAATTTTTGGAGTCCTGAACGTGCTAAAGAAAATGATGCAAATGTGGAACCAAGGCTGGGCCTTTCTCATCGGTAAGCATTAAGCAATCATTTTCAAAATACATATAGTAACATTCTCAAACACAGTGCTTGCTTTGAACTATGCTAAAATGGCATCCTATAATGTTCTGAGATCAGCTGACGACGAGAAATATTCTAATGACACGAAACGATCAAACGGGCCAATGCATGGTCGTTTATAAGCGACTGTATGTTTACTTGGCGTCGTTGGCGACCATATCCCAAATTCCCGAACGCTCTCATTCGAATGAAGCACAGGGTGTGACCTGCCCGCTGCGTCCGTTGTCGTTCAGACTTTGAGAACTACCTGGAGCTGTCGCTGTACATGTCGGCCCTGTTCAGCGTCACTCCCGTCTTCCACCCCGTCGTACACCACGTGTACGTCATCGCCGCCGCCATCGCCGTGTTCCTCGCCTGGTTCAACATGCTCCTCTACCTGAGAAGGTGAGCCATCGCCGTGTTCCTCGCCTGGTTCAACATGCTCCTCTACCTGAGAAGGTGAGCCATCGCCGTGTTCCTCGCCTGGTTCAACATGCTCCTCTACCTGAGAAGGTGAGCTCATCCGTGAAACTACCTGAGTTGTTGAGCTGATCCGTTTTACGTAGGGTGGGGTGAGATTATCGGTTCCACTTCTACACTACGCATTTTTTAAGTCTGTTTTTGCGCAACGAGAACTGACGAACGTTCGTTTCGTTTCCAGTTTCGAGTCGGTGGGCATATACGTCGTGATGTTTGTGGAGATTCAGAAGACGCTGCTGCGGGTTCTCGTCATCTTTTCCGTCCTCATCATCGCATTTGGACTCGCCTTCTACATACTCATGTCTCAGGTGAGCGTCCAACCATTTATTTACACTTGTCTTCACTGATCATTTATCGTCTCGATACGCTGAACACAAATCATACTTGAAAGTTGAAGTCTTACTCACTCGCGAGAAAGAATTGTTTTCTTCTTCATATTCGTATTACTCACTGCAATGCCCTTTTTTAAATAAATCACAATAAAAAATGTCAGCAGTCTTAGTACACACTGATACCGTCGTTTGTTCAGCACTGATATACCGTCCTCCGCCTCCCTTTCCATTGTTTCAGGGCAACCACCCGGAGTTCAGCAGCGTGCCCGTGGCGCTGTCTCGCACCTTCAACATGATGCTGGGCGAGATCGACTTTCTCTCCGTCTACGTATACCCGTGGCTGGCAGAGCCGCAGAACGGGACCTTCAGCACCACAATGCCGACCCATACCGCCAACACAGGCACCGGGCGCCGCGGGGCGCGAGCCTCGCCCACGTTAGTAGACCGATAGGGGCCGGCCAGATTCGGACTCGGGGCGGGGTCTGAGTTGTATTTATTCCGATACGGGTTTATTCAAGTACCCTTCTTCCGTTTATTTTTATTTTTAGCGTATACGGCTTCATTAAACCTATGGTGTGTCTGATAGGCTGCTTCCTAGACTTTGGTAGCTAGTGCAATCAATACGTTCGAACACAAATTTAAATCATCCGTCCAACTGGGTCATTACCCTTGAAAAAGTTAAAATAAACGAAACGTCGGGTAATTTTTGTTGTAATATCTTGCATATTTATGAAATAATCCGTCCAACTCACTGTCCTTATAAAAAGCATCAGCTATTTGATCCCTCAAGCTGACGTGCCAATGTCTTTCAATAATCACAGTCCGATTCCCGTCGCTTTTATAAGCTGATACCTCCGATTCCCGTATATCCTGTGCGCAACGGATAGTTCCAACTCATCCACTAGATGTCTCGCTAAGCGGGCGCCTGAATCATGCTGTGCCGCATATCACCAGTTTCCAGCCGCCGCGATTTGTGCTCCATGTCTGAAAATTCGCTCTCTGCGTAAAACGATAACGCTATTTTCACGACCGGCAACGACATAGTTACGGGATAATATACATAACTTAGAAACTAAGTGCTGATTCGTGTTGCGATAAAGGCTAAAAGTAGATACCACATCACCAAGCGGATCGGAAATTGCCGATGGATCGGTATTGCTCCCCCAATCACGCGATACTCGGGGATCGAAGTCGCCACAGTTCGGCCACCGCTAACATCGCTCGCTGTTCTCGGCAGGGTTCTGGGCCGTCGGTTCCTGCCGTTCGCCAACACGGCCTTCCTGCTAGTCATCGTGTTTATGGTGATGATGCCCATCCTGCTGATGAACCTGTTGGTCGGTCTGGCCGTCGGGGACATCGAGACGGTCCGCAAAAACGCCGCACTCAAACGGCTCGCAATGCAGGTAAGCATGGCGAGCATGCAGGTATGCAGGTAAGCATGAATACTTATAAACTGTCGAATTTGATAATGGACACAGGACACTGCCATTGTATCTTTCTGATGACCATTGCCGCTTCAAGATAAACGACTCCTTCTCTTCCCCTCAATATGACCCACGTGACCAAATAACCACGCAACTGACCCGTGATCTTACCGACCCCACCAGGTGGACCTTCACACGGCGCTGGAGAGGAAGCTACCGGACGCGTTCCTGGCGCGCGTGCGGCGCACACAGATGGTGGAGTACCCGAACGTCACATTGGCGGTGGCTAGCCGCGGCGGGCCGCTCTCTGCGTGCCACAAGGTGTTCCACTTTGTGATGGAGCTGCTGACGCCTAGCCACGACACCGTCAACACCGGCACCTTCGGTGAGACGCAGAGACCTTAAGCTAGACGCTTCATGCAGAGTGTCGAGTCGCATAGTTTAAATCTCAGCAAATAAGATCTTAGTGGTTAGATTGTTACTCCAGCGCTATTGGATACTTAACTACAATCTCGAGCGGTCTTGAATTTAGTCCCAGTCTGATTCTTTATGTAGAACTGTGCCATTCCTTCATATCGTCTGTCGCTTTCCTGGAGTCACCGGAGTCTGTTCAAAGCCAAAACTAACTTTCAACCTTTGCAATGTATATTCACCGTGTCCTCTTCCAGACCACCTGGAGGCGGCCGTGGAGGACGACGAGTACCGCCAGCAGGAGGATCTCGCCAAGCTGAAGCAGCGGCTCAAGGAGGCGACCACCGTGCTCGACTCGGTGCACCACCTGATGCGCCAGGTGGCCGCCCAGCTGGACCTGGCCGGTACAGAGGCACGGGACGAGGACGAGGGAGACGCCCTGGAGCCGGGCGGCAGGAACAGCCCGGCAGCCACCATCAGCGCACGCAGCACCCCGGCGCCGCCGGCTGATTAGGGTTACCAGCGTCCGCAGATACATCAGACAACCGGCGACGGCGGAGAGCCGAGCGGTGAGAGACGCCGTCGCAAGTCACCAAGCGGCGGTAAACACCATCACGACTCACCGAGCAGGCCACGTCATCAAAGAACGGCGGAATACGTCATCGCAACTCGCCCAACGCCAGCCAGACTAGTCGTCCTTACAGACACACGCCTCTTGTGTAAGTTGTTTGCCATGCGTCTGTTAGTTTTGTAAGGTTAGGTTCGCCAGCAAACAAATGTCACGCCTTTCTGCAAAGCTGGCCTCTGTGGTGCGTAGTGACCACACAATGGAGACGCTGACAGACGCTAAGTGGTCCCAATTTATCCCAAACAGCGCAGTGGCGGCTTTATTTGTTGTACGTGTTCGTGTTTGGTTATTAGTGCGCCCCAACGCACGGCAGCTTCACTGTTTCATCACGTTCGAGATACACAACAATCGCGAGCTAGTAGCTTGGGTACTTATCGTGAAGCCGCGGACACGTCGTTCACATCACGCATCGCTGGCATATTGTAACAGACGTTGCACATATTATGGTAATTTGTGATTTTGATGGTTCATCGTGACTTGTGGCTGTATTTGTTGTTCGCTGTGTTGATGTAGCGTGCTCGAGAAACGAGATTAGTTATATGTAAGTGAGGAGTGGGAAACGAAATAATATCGGGAAACGAGGTGCAAGTCGCTCGAGAGTTGTCGGTCACAGACAAAGGGCAGGGTAGCAGAGCAGAATTGTCCAGCGGGTCTGGTATGTATGAAACAATCATGCAATTCTGTATGTTCAATGACGGAGTGTACTAGATCTAATAGCGCACCGTCGTTAACGTTTATGTCGATTTGTCATGCAACACAACCATTGTGCAACGAATTGCTTAGCTTCATGTTCGTCTAGTATTGTTTGATATATTTGCTATGTTTTAATAATTATTCATTACCGAGATAGTGATAATGATGATCCGATGGACTGGCACAATACAGTTTTGCCCCGACTTGTCTGTTTATTAATCATTGCTCACAGTTACAATAGCGAAAACTACGCAACAGTGCCTCGCAGAGGTTAACAAAGACCACTTTTCAAAAATACGCACCAATAACCAAGCTTTGTCAGAAGCTTAGAGATGTTAGTAACAGCAACCATTGACCTCCACATCGACAGAACAATTGTGAAAACACTCTTCGTTGGAATTTATGCCCGACTGGTCCCTGGAGCCCGTTGCATCTCGACGATACACAATCGATTGAACAAAATCAAAGGGAACAAAAAGGTTCAACCAATGGCACTTATTTTCTCGCACTATTGCACAGACTGTAGATACCATTTTCCGTTGAGTTACAATTGCACAAAGAAACCTGAGGGGTTACAATAAATGCCGCAGCTATTGCACTACAACTATCACCGCGCAACAGTTCGCTAGCTCTTCCATTTTCTGGCAGCAAAAAAAAAAAACTGGCTTCTCTTACAAAATGCTTAAAAAAGTGCTGGCTAGCAAGCTTGCCGAGTACGCCAAAACAAGTATAAAAATTGCACTCATAGTATACAATGATAGATATGTCTACGACAGTCTACGTATGAAGCTTTCCCGTGCATTTGGCACTAGACCTCTCGCCGACACGCAAATGATCGCCCCTTCTGGCTGGAATGGCATTACGGAGAATACACTACAACCCGCGGATACATAGCAGCCACAGCGGCAAGCACAGCCCCACGCAGTGTACGTTAGCGGCTATCTCCTACCCACTAGTTAACCCAGCCCGAAACTACCCACCGCGATCCTATCCACCGCGAATTCTCTGTGCATAGGCAGCTTAACTATCCTATTTATATCTCCCTATATCAGCCATGTTCCCGATCCCTGCAACGTTCGCTACCCGCAGTTTGATTCAGTCGATAAGTCTTTTTCTTCCGTCAAGCTCTACTTGAGCATCGAGATAATCCCGTTTGATCTTTCTAGCCATAGCTCCTCCAGCCTTCCACCAATCTTCCTCTTCTCATCAGCTGCTCTCCAGACATTCGTACCCCTATCTCTTCTATCTGTTCACCTTACTCTCTTCATCCAGCCCCGCTCTCCGTCTCTCCCTCATTCCTGCCCTTCCTCCTCTACCTCCTCTCTCCTTCCCTCTCATCCTCCCATCTCTCAGTTGGCGAATATATCTCCCATGGTCAGCCACACGCTCTTACACTGAGTAGCGTGATAGAGAAACTCCTCTCCCTGTCCCTGCAAACCATCGAACCAGTCGCGGCCGCGCCCCCAGTCCACCCACGTACGTTTCACGTTGACAGCCGAGGTGTGCTCGACGAAGCGGCTGGCGGCGGCGCTCTCCGCCAGACACCACACGCTCTGGATGTCTTGGTGTTCGGATAGATGACGCGCCAGGTGGTCACGACTGCCCGTCAGCAGGGAGACCACGCCGGCCGGCACGTCCGACGTCTCCAGGATCTGGCGGTGATGAGGGGAGATCAGTGGGTGGTAAGGTGTGCGATGCGGGAAACAAATATGTGAGATATTAGGTGTAATTTGCAAGACTCACAGACGGACAGGAAAGACAGAAGACGGGTGGTAGTGATGACGGGTACGGTACGAGAAAAGAATTGTGTAATGCATAACAAGACCGTCGGACGGGTAATTCAATAGCACGCCATGGATCGACCGATACGCCACACAATGGAAATAGTGAGCTGCCAGTAACAAACGAGCGCAGTATACTCATCGACAGTTCATCACATCGATCATGCAAAGGAATACTAATAACGCAATAATTCGCCGGATCCCAATTTACACAATGCCTCATCAGCATACAAACAATGGAAGCCACGCTACCTAATCCTCCAATGGATGCCTCTTCAAACCAAGCACCCAACGGAACGACTCCCATTAATAGCCGTCAATAGCTCTGTACTTTCACAACCCTCCCGAGCCTCGTCACCCGGTTACTGACTCACCTGATAGAGATCGAGCGCCGGCAGGGGGCGCCGCTCGCTCGGCACCAGGATCACCGCGTTCCCTCGGGCGATCAGCGGTGCGATCAGAGATACAGCGGCCAGCAGGGGAGCGGTGTCCGGGGCCAGGGCGGCCACCACGCCCACCGGCTCGTGTAGACGCAGCACCGTGCCGTACAGCTGCGTCTCCTGAACGGCGCCGCCGAACTTGTCCGACAGAGCCGCCCAGTGGAATAGGCGGGCCACTGAGGCGTCCACCTGACGGGGAGGGGAGAAACAAGTTAGTGGCCGGCGAATAGTTTGGTAGTGCGGGGGCGGAGTCTGGAGCACTCAAACTCGGCACTGCTTCCAGTTGCGGGATCCGTGAAGCGGGTGACGAGAAAATGAAATAAAGAAAAGTGGCAGATTGTACGGCCGTGCTGTATGTGTCAGTAGCAAATGTAACAAGTAGGAAATTTCAAGTGCATTGTCCCGTCACACCCATCCACGGCGTCCTCACCTCCTTCTCAGCCGCCTCGCGGCTGCCGCCGACGCTCTGCACCAGCGTGTTCACAAACTCCTCCCTGCGCAGCTCCAGATTCTCGGCCAGGTAGTACAGTATCTGTGCCCGCTGGTGGCCTGACCGTTTGGCCCAGCCCGGCTGGCCCTTGTGCGCCGCCTCCACGGCGTTCCTGACGTCCTTGCGGTTAGACTCGGCCACCTGAGCGACCGGCGAGCCGTCGGCGGACAGCACGACGCGACTGTAGTTGCCGTCAGGGCGCTTCTGCGCGCCGCCGTAGAACAGTTTGTAGGTGCGGTCCACGCGCGGCACGCCCGCGGATATCTCCGGCACCACCTGACGGACACAGAAAAGGAGATAAAGAGGGTCTTGTAGGTGTCATTAGAGTCACAATGAATATTGGGCAAACTGGATCTGAACAATCTTGAACAAAGCGTCCTCTCAAGTGATTAACAACCTTGACAGAATAGAGGTATACTATATGACATGATAAATCGTAGAGCAGTGCGTAGAGCGTTCAGCTCGTAAGCAATCAAAACATAACCGTACCTATTATGCAAATCCAGTGCACAAAACACGAAGTCTGAGCATACAATCTCACATCAGCCTTCCCACTCTCTTGACCATCACCGCCTGTCTCACCGCGGCCGCGCCGATGTCTGGCCGGCTGGGCTGGTCGCGCGCGCCGAACTCCTTCATGTCGACCTCGGTGGCCGGCTGTTTGGTGTCGCCCATCCAGCGCGGCTTCACGTACTCGTAGAGACCCTCCTTGCCGCCGTCCCGGCCGTACCCCGACTGACGGTAGCCGCCGAAACCGGTCGCAGCGTCGAACATGTTGTGGCAGTTGATCCAGACAGAGCCCGCCTGGAGAAGAGGCGAGGGGAGTTAGAGGATGCGAGGGAATCACCGGAAGTAAACAAATGACCTCTAAGCCACGGAAAATCAATAAGCCAGCAGCTGACATAGATAAAACAAACACCCATTTTTATCTATGACCAAAATGGCCGAAGGCTGCTAGCTGTAGTTTTCAACTGTCAAGAGCATCCATACAATATGAGAAAACGTAGGCATTTCCAAAAAGATTAGCTCCTTCCGAAAACAGCTGCTCATGAATCGCCTCTCACCTTGATGTGTTTGGCTGTCTCCAGGGCGAGCGGCAGTTTCTCGGTCCAGACGCTGCCTCCCAGGCCGTAGATGGTGTTATTGGCCAGCGCCAGCGCCTCCTTGGCGGTGCGGAAGGGCAGGGCGACCAGCACGGGCCCGAAGATCTCGTCCACCACCACCCGAGAGCTGGTCTGCACGTTGGTGATCAGTGTGGGCGGGTAGAAACAGCCGGCCGGAGCGCCCACCTGGAACACCTGGTGAATGGGGGAGAGGGGTTAGAGGAGGCCGATGAGTGGTGTGGCAACTACGGACAATCCATGGGACAGGAGGGTCTAGGGGATGAAACTGAAACCGGGAGATTTAAACAGACATGGGTCATATCACGAAAAGGGTCGTCACACCAGTGTGGCTAAATTCATTTTACGTTAGGGGGAGGATGTAGAAAAAAAGTCTGGAAAGGATGTCGTTATCTTCATAAAACTTGACTTTGACCCTTTTTAAGCACTGTTTTTATATGTGTCACGAGAAAATGATGCAGAATTATTAAATACTGGGAGAACCACGGTGACTATAAATAGATAAAACTATGAAGGCATTCGGATATTTGGGATGATAAATGAGGTTTTTAAGTCAGGTCATATATTTGAACATTTTGGTTATTCGAATGGTTATCTTGGCGTGTTGTGAGAGTTTGCGAGGTTTGTGTTTCTCTTGCTCCTAGACGTTTGGGTTCGAGGTTGTTATTATAAGTCGTGGATGCCGTGTGGATGTTTTTATTTATATTTTTAGGATGTGATTATACTTTTCATTATGGGTGGATTTCCCCGCTTCATTACAATTCTGGACACACTGCGTCACACTTACGCAAGCCGGCGATTCTGGCGACACCTCGTTAACTCAGCGATAAAACACGCAACAGTACCAACTCGAAAACGCACCTGCCGTCACATACAAAATTAAGACCTCGTGGGCTGTAGCTAATCTGCACAAAGCTCGCACTGCATGATTGCTCACAGAACACGTGTAGTTCTCGGTCGTTCTCACCTCCGCACCCTCCTCTTTAGCGCTGTCCACATACTCTTTCACACTGCGCCGCTGGCTCTCATCCACGATAGCGCCCATATCCAGTGCCTTGTCCAGAGAGTCACCCAGCCGGAGCTTCTCCATCCGAGCCCGCAGTTTAGCCATCATCGGCTCAAAGACACGCTCCTGCACCAGCAGCTTGGAGCCGGCAGAGCACACCTGAGGGCGGTGGGACGGGGGGCAACACGGTCAGTCAGAGAGGCGAGGGAGGTAACAAGGAGGGTGCCAACTGCCGACGTTGGCCGGTGTAGAGAAGCAGGGCAGGGGGCGCCACTGTAAGCCCGGAAGGAAACTAGGGCGATCGCGCACGATCGCTGCGCGATCGCCAGCGAATGGTGTGGTCAGGACGTGTGGGGAGGTAGGACGGGGTGCTGACACCAGCACTTGATTAGGCAACAAGTGATTAAAAGTAGAACCACCTTATCTATTCGGCAATCATCCCTCGATGACCTCCTGCCGCCGAGCACCGAGATATCTAGCACGCCGAAAATAGCCATCGAATAAAGCGGATCTGGACCGTTCACTGACCTGCCCCTGATTAAACCAGATCGCGTCCACGACGCCCTCGACGGCCGAGTCCAGGTCGGCCGAGTCATACACCACCACCGGACTCTTGCCGCCCAGCTCTGCAGACAATGAGAGCGAGAGGATGTCAGTGGTTATGGAAGTGGTGTTAGGGTACAGCTCTGGGAACATAGACAGGGTGTCCGTGGTTCTGACGGTGGTATCGAGGCCTGGCTCTGGCATTTACGAGTAAATGAAGACATTACCACACCTGCTGGACTTGGCTATCTGCTATCCCTTAAGTTCGCGGTTCACTATCGGTCCTAATTACCAGCTAGCCAGTTGATTTCACATTTAAGATCACATGGCGCGCGTCTCGATATAAGATTAGCGAAAGAAAGCTGAACGAAACCCATACGATAGATTGATTACGAAATTAATGTAAATGTCTCTAATGAAACTGAAAAACGCATCAGCTTGCCTCACACTCGGCCTTTCTAAGACAGTCTCATACTGGGTATTCTGCAAACACCGGCCGACTCACCGAGTGAGAGTTTCTTTCCCATGCCGGCGGTGGCCCGGCGCAGTCGCTGTCCGATCTCTGTGGAGCCGGTGAACCCCACCTTGTCCACGTCTGGGTGCGTGGCCAGCTTCTCGCCCATCGAGCCGGGACCGGTCACCACGTTAAATACGCCTGCAGGGAGCCTACGAGGAGAGACTGACTTAGGACATGCTGAGGTATGGAATGGTGAGAACATCCATCCACCATTGAGGGTCACATTAAGCAAAGCACTTGAAATAATCGATCACTTTGTACAAAATGAATGCCCAAAAAATGTGCATCAAAAGTGCTATTCTGAACACATACGCAAACAGACCACAGAGAACAGCTGACTGCACTCACTACTCATTACCACATAATGGATTCACCTATCGACATTTATCAGAATATATCAGCGCCTCAACAAAAGGTTCTGCAATCCCAACAAAAGTCTATTTCAAGACATCCATCTAGTCACTAGGCCCCATCACCTTCTGGCCAACCGTTCCTGCACTCACCCAGCCTCGGCGCAGATCTCGGCAAAGAGCAGCGCCGACAGTCGGGTGTAGGTGGCCGGCTTCAGGACCACCGTGTTGCCCATGGCCAGTGCGGGGCACACCTTCCAGGCCAGCAGCATCAGAGGGAAGTTCCACGGCACGATGGCACCCACAACGCCTGTGGTACGGCAGGCGGTCAGACAGTGCCGGTATCATCAGCAGCGGAATGATTTGGTTAGACTTGAGCTGGAGTGTGATCACCCAGTCATAACATAGCGTAATATAAAGTATTATCGTGTGCTTGCAAATATCCTGTCAATTTATCGCGATAATAATACGACCTCCGTTAGAAAACGCAATTCATAAATTTTACTCTCTTTGTATGTTCAAGCAACGTCCGGAAAATAAAAATCTAATACCACATTTCAACAAACAAATTCCTAGTATAACACAAACAACCAATGAACCCCACACCTCCCCACCAGTCCCCTCTCTCCCATCGTACCGAGCGGTTTCCAGTTGGCCATCTCGGTGTCCGCCAGCTGCGCCCAGCCGGCGTGGTGGTACAGGTGGCGGATCACGATCGGTACATCACAGTCACGCGTCTCACGGATCGTCTTGCCGTTATCCATGGAGGCGATCACCGCCATTAGACGGGCGTGCTTCTGCAGGTGGCGCGCGATGCTGCGGAAATGAAAGAGGTGGGGTGAACCAAAGTACTTCAGAGCAAGAATACAAAGAAGTGGATGTGGTTAAAGGGATGGCTCCTTGCTTGGCAGCAATACGGCTACGGAAACAAATTCCAAGAAATATCGTGGAATATCGTGGAGGTGGAGGCAAAGTAAAAGTGAAAGCGAGGAAGTCACAGGCCCTTTGAAAGGGGCCTCTTTCTATGGACAGCTTCAACTTCAACATCGTCATGCCTTGACAACTTTTTGTAAGACCACCAAGCTCATCCAATCTCCCCACCCTCCCATTCACCTGTAAATGTGTCTCGCTCGTGCATGTCCGCTCAGCTGACCCCACGAGCCGAACGCCTTCCTGGCGGCTGCCACGGCCACGTTGACATCTTCCTCAGTGCCCTGTACAGTGGCGGCCAGCACCTGGCCCGTGCACGGGTTGCGCGTCTCGTACCATTTCCTGTTCTCGGGCGTCACCCACTCATTGTTGATGAAGTGTCCCAGCTTACGGCTGTGGTCATCCAGCCATGCCTGCCAGAGAATAATGGCCAATAGACATTAGCTGTATGACTGTGTTTGCAGTCTAGTCAACTGATAATTGGTGGCAGTGTGGAAAGACTTGTTTCATCTGACATGGCAAGAAGTAGGTAGTATTGGTGCTGGTGCCAGCTGCTGTTTTTTTTTTGCCAATAAATGTCATAATTGCAATAATTGTCAAAAGTCAAAACCCAAAACATTTGTCAATTCTTGCATCAAATTATTTCACTTTGATTAGAAAGATGTGTTTGAATCTTTATGCATTTTTGAGGATTCAGCAACAACTTTAAAAAATAATTCCACCATTTAACTCTGATCATCAAGGGGCTGTTCCAGCACCTCCAGAAAACTCCAAAGGGGTGTTCACGGGCACCGCACACTGCTGCGTGCGGTGTGTGCGGTGCGTCCAGCAGGCGTGGGGGTAGGGGATGGGTAGGCGGCTCTGACGTCACGGCCAGTGGCGTATCTAGGATTTCTCTCAAGGGGGGTCCGCAGTCAAAAGGGCCCTTGACTGACTGGGTTGAAAGGGCCCCTAAGTGGCAAAAGGGCCCTTGAAGCCTGAGTTGAAAGGGCGTTAGCCCACGCCCCGTAGGGGGGGGGGAGGGGCGAAACGGCCCCCTCACGGTTCGTCGGAAGGTCATCTCAGGCTCAAAAGAAACGATATATACCATTCGAAAGCTTACGGTGAGCTGAATCCCAAAATGTATTTTTTATCAAAATCGATCGATGGCCTTTTTTGAAAATTGCGTTTTTCTAAAAACTTAATAATCTTTTATTCAACGGGCTGTTCCGGACATTCTTGAAAACATGAAGATGTATTTTTGAGTTCCAGTGAAAGCTGAACGCCAAAAGAACAATATTTAGCGAAGCAATATTTCCAAACATTAATATGCGTCTCCCACAGCCGAAAATAAGGCGCAATCACACAGCTCAGTGTCACGATGGACCAAAGTCAGCCACACAGAAGCGTGGAATGACCCTTATCGACTCGCAGACCCGGCGCTCTCGGCCCGCCTGACCGGCCACGGAAAGAACGTTCGGCTCTCGTTCTACTAAACAAATGTCAAAGTTGTCAGTTTAACTATCCACATCGCTATTAAAGCTATTCAGGATACCTGTGAAGAAAATTCATTGTTCTGTCATCTTCACATCATGCATTAATTTGCATCTGTTCATGTCTACTTTGCTCAATTGAGCTTGGTATCATGCCCATATAAGGAAAATTGGCCGCGCTGAAATGTCAGAGGCTGCACCGGCCTCAGCTCGGGTGGAGTGGGGGTAGCGCCCGGCGGGGCAGGGTAACCTTTGACCGGTCGCACGGCCGAGCAGCTGTCACCAGTACAGCCTCTGACAGTGAAACCCCGCTCACTTCCCCTGCGCGGGCACTGATCGCAGCTGGATGGAACAAAACATGTATAAGAAAAATGTAAATTAAAGCATGTTGTAAATCAAGCAGAACAATGAATTTTCTTCACAGGTATCCTGAGTAACTTTAATAGCGATGTGGACAGTTAAAGTGGCAAATATTACATTTGTTTAGTAGAACGAGAGCCGAACGTTCTTTCCGTGGTCGGTCAGGCGGGCCGAGAGCGCCGGGTCTGCGAGTCGATAAGGGTCATTTCACGCTTCTGTGTGGCTGACTTTGGTCCATCGTGACACTGAGATGTGTGATTGCGCCTTATTATCGGCTGTGGGAGACGCATATTAATGTTTGGAAATATTGCTTCGCTAAATATTGTTCTTTTGGCGTTCAGCTTTCACTGGAACTCAAAAATACATGTTTATGTTTTCAAGAATGTCCGGGACAGCCCGTTGAATAAAAGATTATAAAGTTTTTACAAAAACGCAATTTTCAAAAAAGGCCATCGATCGATTTTGATAAAAAATACATTTTTGGATTCAGCTTACCGTCAGCTTTCGAATGGTATATACCGTTTCTTTTGAGCCTGAGATGACCTTCCGACGAACCGTGCCCTGTCCTCTTCCGTAGCTATCTCCTAAATGACTGCAGATATCGCCACCAAACTTTCAGGACCTCTCTGGGCATCCATTTTACACATTGTGACCTTTTTCCAGAGGCTATGATAGGTTGGCCGCAAATACGTCAGAATGACGTCATGTTCTGCCATTTTCGACCCAAAAAAGGTTTCGCAGGAAGAGCTATCAGGCCTACAAAGCTGCAGAAACATGAAAATGTTCCGATATAAAAAGTGTACAATTAACAGGCTTAGGTCAAATCTGAGCACAGTTTACAGAAAGAGCGTTAAAAGGGCTTTGTTTGTTTTGTTGGGTTGGACCCAGGCCCTTTCGGCTTTCGGTCTGACGAGACCATTTCAGGGCCGGAGGGATGATAGGAATTGAGGGAGACATTGGTCTGGGCGGGTACCTTGGTGACTCACTGGGGCTGAGCCTGTCCAACAGGACAGGCCGACCAGCCTCCCAAGTGCTCACTGCACCCGGTTACGAGTGTGCTTCCTTAGGAGCTGCAGTGCGCTCCAATAGGAGCCGCCCGCATGGAATAAAGTTGCCCGTCCAGGTCCAGCCCGGATCAGGGGTTGCGGCATGGAGGAGAAGGATTTGAATGTCCTGAGGATGGAAACGGCGAAAGGGGTGTTAAAAGAGCTATTAACTACGCTTTTCCACGGTACTGTAGTTCTATTCATTTCCGAATCATGCGGTGGTTTGTTGAAAATTGTCGAAATTGGACCTGAAAATTGGCGAAATTTAACCTTGGATGACCTGTGTGAACTGAATTTTGAACTGATCTCAAAAGTGACAGGCGTAATTTCGTCATTATTGTTTGCTTGCGTCCCTTCGAACACCACTGCCTTAGGCGTGTTGGTACGTGGCTCAGAAACCGAGTTATAGATGCAGGGGTGCGGAGCCGGAGCTGGAGCCGGAGGAGCCGCCGGTGCCGGCATATTTTGCCTGGAGCCGGAGCCGGAGCAGGAGCCGTGAAACAATATAGCCCGGAGCCGGAGCCGGAGCGGTAAAAAAGGCGGCGACTCCAGCTGTTTTTTTTTTTTTTTAAGAGGAAAACATTATTGACCTAGCTCGGTTTCACAGTACCTGCAAGGCAGTAAAATATGTGGTATTCAAAATAGCCTTGGTATGCAAATACAGAAACAACGCGAACCAATCCTTCATCTTTTCTTTTCCACCCGTATTTATTTGTATAAAGGATGAACTGAGTACTTGAGTTGAAGCCGGAGCCGGAGCCGGAGCCAAAGCCGTTTTTTTTCTCCGGAGCCGGAGCCGTCTGAAATTTCCACGCCTCCGTATCCCTGGTTAGAAGGACCCTGGCCGGGCGGGGGGGGGGGGGGCGTGGGTGCCACCACATCGTTTTTTTGCGACAGCTCGGAACACGTCGGCAGGCAACAGAGAGCCAAAACTGGGCATAGCTACCTAACCTTTGATGCAAACCGGGCCTTGTGACGCCCGCATTTTCACGGAGGGCCTCTGGTCGTCTTAAGGACCCTCTGTTACCCTCAGAGGGACCCTCTGATGGCCTCTGAAGACCATCACTGGCCTCAAAGGGTCCTCTAGTGGCCTCCATGGACCTTCTGGGTACCTGAAAGGTCCCTCTGTTTTCTCTCCAGGGGCCTTTTTTACCTCAAAAGGTTCTCTTTTACTTCAAATGACCGTATGTTGGTCTAATACATGAGGCCCCTAGTGGCCTAAAATAGCCCTCATATCATCTAAGGTGACCCCCTGTTTGCCTTAGAAAAGAGGTCCCTCCGGGTGCCTGAGAGGCCCTGTTTGTGTCCCAAAGGGTCCTTTGCTGGCCTCATAAGACCCCTAGTTGACCTAAAAAGTCCTCTGATTGTCCAAGGGCCCTCTGTTCGCCTCAGAGGGCCAGCTTTTTCCTCAGAGTGCCTGATGACCTCATAGAGCCCATAGTGGCCTGACATAGCCTTCATATCACCTCAGAGGGCCCTCTGTTGTAAGGCTCAAGTGGCCTTCTCAGAGGGCTCCGACTGCCCTGTGACTGACAATTGTCCACTCTTATCCCTCTTTTGGGTGACCTTTTCCCCCTCTGACACCCAAGCCAAAATACGATTTTGGGACACTGACTCCGAAGGCCAGTTGATTTTCAGAGGGCCCTCCTTGAGGTGGATGTTAGGGCCCTCTGTTCGCCTCAGAGGGCCCTCTGGTGGATTTAGACTTCAGAGGACCCTATTTTGGCAACAGAGGGTGCCTCTCTGTGGCATCAGAGGGCCCTCGGAGGCCTCAAATGGCCCTATTACATCTCAGAGAGCTGTCTTTGACCTCAGAGGGATCTTTTTTACTTCTTTGTGGTGTCTAAGGGGGCCCTCTGGCCTTTGTTCGCCTCAATGAGCCTTAAGGGGTCCTCCGATGACTTCCAAGGACCCTTTTGGATCTCAGAGGGCCTGATGACCTCATAGGGCTCATGGTGGTCTGACATAGCCTCATATCACCTCAGAAGGCCCTCCAGTGGCCTCAGAGGCCACTTTGTGACCATTGAAGGCCCTCCATTCGCCTTAGAGAGCCCTCTTTGATCTCTTTGATCTCTTCGATCTCAGAGGGCCCTTTGTTCACCTCAGAGGGCCCTTTGGTGACCTCCAGGGACCATCTTTGATCTAAGAGGGCCGTCTGGTGGCCTCATAGGGTACCTTGTGGCCTGACATTGACCCTCGTACCTCAGAGGGCCTTCTGTTCGTCTTAAGGGGCCCTCTGCTGGTCTTAGAGGGCCCTTTGTGTGCCTGGGAGGCCCCCCTGATTACCTGAGAGGGCCCTCTATGTGTTTGAGAGGGCCCTCTGTGTGCCTGAAAGGGTCCTCTGTGTACCTGAGACGGCCCTCGATTTGCCTGAAAGGGTCCTCTGTGTGCCTGAAAGGGCCCTCTGTGTACCTGAGAGGGCCCTCTGTTTGCCTGCGAGGGCCCTCTGTTTGCCTGCGAGGGCCCTCTGTTTGCCTGCGAGGGCCCTCTGTGTGCCTGAGAGGGCCCTATGTGTGCCTGAGAGGGCCCTCTGTGTACCTGAGACGGCCCTCTGTTTGCCTGAAAGGACCCTCTGTGTGTCTCAGAGAACCCTCTGTGTGCCTGAGAGAGCCCTATGTGTGCCTGAGAGGGCCCTCTGTGTGCCTGAGAGGCCCTATGTGTGCCTGAGAGGGCCCTCTGTGAGCCTGAGAGGGCCCTCTGTGTGCCTGAAAGGGCCCTCTGTGTACCTGAGAGGGCCCTCTGTGTGCCTGAGAGGGCCCTCTGTGTGCCTGAGAGGGCCCTCTGTTAGCCTGAGAGGGCCCTCTGTGTGCCTGAAAGGGCACTCTGTGTACCTGAGAGGGCCCTCTGTTTGCCTGAGAGGGCCCTCTTTGTGTCTAAGAGGATCCTCTGTGTACCTGAGAGCGCCCTCTATGTGCCTGAAAGGGCCCTCTGTGTACCTGAGAGGGCCATCTGTTTGCCTGAGAGGGCCCTCTGTGTGCCTGAGAAGGCCCTATGTGTGCCTGAGAGGGCCCTCTGTGAGCCCTAGAGGGCCCTCTGTGTGCCTGAGAGGACCCTCTGTGTGCCTGAGAGGGCCCTCTGTGAGCCTGAGAGGGCCCTCTGTGTGCCTGAGAGGGACCTCTATGTACCTGAGAGGGCCCTCTGTGTGCCTGAGAGGGCCCTATGTGTGCCTGAGAGGGCCCTATGTGTGCCTGAGAGGGCCCTCTGTGTGCCTGAGAGGGCCCTCTGTGTACCTGAGAGGGCCCTCTGTGTGCCTGAGAGGGCCCTCTGTGTGCCTGGAAGGGCCCTCTGTGAGTCTCATAGGACCGTCTGTGTGAGAGGGCCCTTTGTGTGTCTCAGAGGGCCTTTGTGTGCCTGAGAGGGGCCCCTGTGTGCCTGAGAGGGCCCTCTGTGTGCCTGAAAGGGCCCTCTGTGTACCTGAGAGGACCCTCTGTATACTTCACAAGGTCCCTCATTGGCCTAAATGTGTCCTCTAACAATCCTCAAAAGAGTTCTACAATACTTTTTCTTTTAGCGAATAAAATGGGAAGTGGTCAAAAGGGCCCTTGAAGTCATTTCAATTTTTTCCGTGTTATAAAAAAAACTTTTTTTCTAGGCTCCAGGGGGGATCCTAGGACCCCCAGGGTCCCCCCTTGGATACGCCACTGGTCACGGCTGCGTGCGGTGGACGGTCCGCTGTGGCCAGTCCCGACCGGCCACAGCGATCGCTGTGTGCGGTGACGGAAGGCTGACGTAGGGTCTAGGGACGAAGTGGGCGGAGCTTCGAGGCTGTGTGCGGTCCGACCGCACACAGGGCCCGTGAACAGCCCTCAGAATTCTCCAGTCAGCATTCCAGTGCCTCCAGTTACCAGTAGGTAAGCCTCAGAAAGCTCTCAGCAAACCTCCAGCAGCTTCCAATCAGTTGTGAGGTCCACATTTGACTGGGGACTCTGGTCTACAAGTATGGCAGTTGGCACACATGTGACAATCATAAATGTAAATAAAGGACTTTTGAGTTAATTTTACAATTCAACTTTCATATGTAAAACACTTTGATAAAATGTTTAAATCTTGCTACCTAAAATTGAAAACAAACTTTCGTACCACCGACCATACATAGACTGTATTGCCCCTTGATATGCACACAAATAGCAAAATTTACATCCCATCTTACACTTACAGCATGAAAATTTCTAGCTGCAGTTATCAACTGGCCTAAAAGCAGGTCTCAAGGTTCACCAACCATGCAGAAAACAATGTAAAAATAAGTTTTCCGAACCACTGCTGTGATGCATACCAGCTCCAGTTGACAACTATCAATTGACAAGGGAAGTCATTTTAAATCAGAAAAGGTTCATTTACGCTTAGCCTAATCATTTTGTGAGACAGAAAAATGCAATAAACAATATAAAACCTAACGAAAATAAAATGCGGCAAATCGTGCGCATGACATCCCGGGCTACGCCCCCTTCTCATTTGGGCTATGCAAGTTGTAATATAACTTTCAACACATGAACACATACCTGGGCAGTTTTGTCAGACTCTGGAGCAGGTCCATACTCCATGGATTCAAACAGCTCTGCGATTTTCGTCCCTTTCGGACCCTTTTGCACCGCACCAGCCATCTTCGCGTACTTACAAACGTGCAAAGGAGAAAATACGTCCCTGGAAGAAATTTCCTTCATGACCTTGAGACCAACTTGAGACTGAGCAGATATGGTAGCTTATTACAAACACAACCACTGGGCTTCCAAATGCCAGTTTGAGATCGGACGCGGAGTGGGGTGCGTGTCGCAGGCTGTCGCTGCAAGTGATGGCTGTTTATGCTCGCGTGTTTCCTTTGGAGTTGTGATATTGAATCAGAAACGCTTCGATTTGAGTTTACTGTAAGTATAAGCGTTAGATTTGCTTTAAAGTATGACAGTGTCAGAATGCTTGTCACGCGCAATAATTCAAATTCAGACAAAGTAGGTAAATTCAATCAGGATTCTCAAAATTATAAGTGTGCTCATAAGTGCCTTTGTTTTGCCCATGTAGTTATGTATGGTATGTATTGTGTTTAATTTGTCCTTACCTATCCTCTTTGCATAATTATGCAAACTAATTTAGGCATGTCAATTGCTCTCATTCAGCGTTTATGGTAGGCCTTTGTCAATACGGTTGACTCAATATGAAGTCTTTGATTTAACCCAAACTGCTTCGAAGTTCGACACATAAATCATTTGATATATAGTTCTCTGTTTTGTTGGTATAGTTGATGACATTTACCCCTGATTTCAGATAAGTCAGCGCCATGGCAGACGGCGAGTCCAGCGTCCGTGTCGCGGTCAGGTCAGTCCGGTGACCGGTCACTGGTCCAGCGGGAGGGCAAGGGTCCATCTTCATTCCGGAGACATGTTTGAACAGGGTGAAATGGACAAGCTCCATAGCAAGTGCCATTTAGAGCCTTAGGAAATCTAAGCATTGCCTGCCCACTGTCCAGTGCTTTCCAGCTCATCATAGAAAACTGGGAATGGGACCGAAAATTAAACATGGAAGATTAACTGTTCCCTGCACCGTTTGAACTCCATCAATGGGTCTCAACTCTCAACGCTTGTGTCGTCATCTTGCGTCATTCGGTGCATCCACGAAACATGAATGAATGAATCAATCAATCAATCAATCAATCAATCAATCAATCAATCAATGAGTTTAGGTACGAAAGTCATTGAACGAAAGTCGAAACACTTTGAGCTATGGAGATATTGGCAATACGGTTATTTGCAGATAGTTACCTATGCTCGATCGATTCTGCTTGATTAGGTAGGTAGCAGGGCCTAGTGACCTGCTCCTTGGAAGCTCAAAATGTCGCTGAGAGTCCGGTGGTCTCTGGTTATAGTTTTGAAGTAGCTCATCGTGTTCTTGGTATTTTCATCTATCTCTTTATCAACAATGCGGGGCATGTGTAAATTCATACCTTGCCAGGCGTTGTTTTCAATCTTTTTTAATCACAGGTGGCCTGCTAGCGCCCATTGTCATGCACCCGCGTCCCGCAGTTATCGGAAGCCTACCGTTCTCGTGGGCTGTCCGAAGATGGTGCGGACACTGCAGTCGTTCTATGTCACCGTCATGATATATTAGGCGGCGGCAGTATGTATGGCTACCTACTCGACGAGCCCGACCGTAGCCCACGGCATGCCACGGTGCTGCCCGCTTCCAGCCAAGATACCTATAAGTAATTCCAGCTACCACCTGGGCTAGGCCTGTCTGGGGGCGTTGGACACACACGGCACTGCAGAACCAGTTTGGCACGGGTGTGGGACGGAAGGTGCGCCAATGGGGCGGCTGCTGGCTGACAGACTGGCGGCTGGGGTGACGGTCTGCTGTCCGGCGTTTATTGGATTAGAGCCGCTCATTTACCGCTCGAAACGCGCCTCAGACCAAGCGTCTGGCTCGCGTGACTTAGTATGCAGTATGCAATATGCAATTGCATAGTGGACAAGTTTGCTCAGTACCTACCTATTTGTTAGCATACATTAGCAACGACTGCCAACATAGGCATTAGGCATACTGTTGGCTGTTGAAATTGATGCTATGTTATGCTGATCGCGTATCTCGAATTTCGTTGAAATCTTAACAACGCATTTACCTCATCATTACCATTACCAGCATGGTAGGCATTTGTGAGCTAAAAACTTGGACGTTTTAGGCATCTTTGTCCTTAAAGGTTTGGATTCATTGGTATTTAAACTATGATTAATTCATGAATGTAAGTTATACCGGATCCAGTTTTGCCGGTTGCCAAATTGATGGATGCTGCTGAGTGCTGGATACCAGCAGCAGCGTCTCTGACGGTCAAATGCGGTCAACCAGTCGTGAAGTTCACAATCTTGCACAGCCCCCAAACCTGGCTTCCCCCCGGCGTCGCTGCGCCGTTCTCTGCTGCTGGTTTCGGGCGGACGGAGCTGCTCTGGAGTGCCGGTCTGGTAGTCGCGTGCCACCGCCCCTGTCTGGGTTCCAGCGGCGTCCCCTGCGGCGTGGGGCGGGCTGGCAGCCGGCTATCGATCCCCCCCAGCGAGACCGAATCGCGCGCTGCGGCTGCCTGGCTGTCTGCCGGCACTCTGCCTCCCCTAGGGTTCTGCCCTGTCTGCCGTCTGTATTTTCTGCGACCGGTGGATCTGCTCCGCCTCCCCTAGGGTTCTGTTTTGGCTGCTGACCAGCAGCACCCACGTCGCCTCCCTTAGTCTATCCCTACCCACCTCCCCAGGACATGTTTCCTGTCTACTGGCACTCAGTACTGCAAGCTTCCTATTACGGATTGTCTGTTTTGAAATGTGACTTTTGTTGTTCAGAAATCGATTTCTGTCAATTTTTGTTCGAAACGTTTTGTTCGAAATGTAGTTTGGCATTGAGTGCATATTGTGAAACAGCTGTGTACCTATCGAGTTTCGTTGCCCCCATAGGATTTTTCTTTTCATATTTGCCTTCGTCCATTTTTATATTTCCTCTTGGTTATGCTCCTTTTTGGGGAGAATACCCAAGGGGTCTAGCTCAAGTGGCTGTATCCTGCCATGGCTGCTCGTCTGGCTCCCTCACCAGTGCCGTTTGGGGTCGGTACCGCGTGCAACATTAATTAGCCCACCGTTCGATCGGCTCGGTGAGGACATTCCGGTCACAGCCGGGCTGGTAAATCGCCGCTGCATCGCCGCCGCGCCGGCTGGCACCTACCAGAGGCTGATTCCAGGCACTGACATTCCGGCACGCCGCGGTTTACCCGTGCGGGGTCGTTGTCGGCGATAAAACCTTCCAAATCGGGAGGGCGGCACTTGTGCCTGACCGGCAGCCCCCTCATGGCCCTCACGTGCGCTGGTGACCGCCTGCCCCCGCTGCAGTCGCTTTGGCCCCGCTGTCCGCGCCCTCTCCTTACTCGACCAGTTGACGTGGCTCGCGTGCCGCTAATAGCAGGCGAGCCGAGAACAGGAAAAATTGGAAACACTTGGTCCGTCTGCCCGCCCGTCGATATGGACGGTGCAGTGGCGTCGGATCTCAAATGGGAAGGTTGGATGGTTGGGGTGGATGGTTCTTGGAGCTAAAGGCCCCCGAGTGGCGGCCTGAAATCCCACATGTGGATGGCACCTCACGACTGCCAAACTGAAGGGACTTATTTATTTCAACCCTGGCAGACAGTCTTGGACAGTGTTGATAACTGAACCTACCTATAGGAATTAGATTTTCCTTCTCACATCTTTGTTCTCTTCTAATCTATGTGTCTCTATCACAAATCTTAGTCCATGTGCTTCTGAGTTCCTAGACCGCCGCCACCAGTGCTCTTAGAACTGACGTCCCGCTGTGCACCCGTGCCCTCTAACCGTCACCCAGCTGCCGCCCGTCTCCGGCCGGCGTCCTTTGTGTGCTGGTGTGTGTGACTCTCCGCCGGATACAGCCCTCCGCTCCGCTCCGCTCGGCTGGAGCAGCGTCTGTCTGTTCGTCCCACGACTGAACACAACGCCGATCGCGGGACGGGACGGGATGGGACTGGGGAATGATAGGAAAGAGCGGATGGGTAGTGGACAGGATAGGTTGGTAAAATGGATAACACGTGTACACGCTCGTAGGGGGTTTCAAAAGTGTGATGGAAAATATTGTCATGCTGATGCATTTTGTATTTCAAAGCATTATGTTTTAAGCTAAACTCGCTGAAATACGAGTCGTTTGCACTGCATCTTTGCAGATATACCGATAGCACACTAAGTGGGATCAATATCCACTTTTGTCCGCCGCATCAACAACTACCAGCTGTGTCCTGAATAGGCTGTGTCAACCGTAAGTCGACCACACCGTTCCCTCCGACCCGCGCAAGTCGCCATTGCGCTCCATACGACCGATCCCGACTACCTGCCGCGCAGGGGACGGGGAGGGGAGGCGCTACACCAGCGCTATCTGCTGCACCAATTCCACCTCGCCAGCTGGTCTGTCCGCCTCTCGATTGGACTCTGAGAAACGACCTGCCACCGCGGCGAAAGTGCAGCGTCGCACGGTGCCGGTACGTACGTCAGGCACCGATGAGCGATCGTCGAGTGTCGTACCCACACGTCCCTGCAGCTGGTGGGACTCGCCAGAGCGACGGTTCCGGCGCAGGAGACGCCGGGCCGATCGATGTGTGTTCGAATTCGGACAATTACCCCCATCCGAACGGCGTTTGAGTGATGTGCAATCTGAGATTAAACGACGGCTGGGCTGAGGCCGAACGACCACCACATTGAAACAGAGGTACGACCGCACCGAGGCAGAGCAGCACCACGCCTTACACTCTGAACCAGCCGTAAGTTGATGATGCTTTGATCGTCGGCTCCAGATGGTCAGGATGCTAGAGTGATCAGACCAAGTTCGATGGTCGGATTGGTGAAGCGGCGGAACCTCACCCAGAGGTCAGGTCGGAGGGATCCCGCTCTTATTCCGAGTGTGGGCGCCCTCGGTCACAGTAGTTAGTCGAGTCGGTGCATATGGCTCCATTTATAGTCCCATAGAGAGTCCAGAACGAATCGTAATTGCGGGCGGGCGCGGAATGGCCGAACATTATCGCGATTTGCGTGATATTCTGCGGCGTAGTGGGCGTTCTGTGTCAGTGGGGTCCGGGCTCAGATTGCTTCATCGACCATGGATGCTAGACATTTCTTGCTGAAAGAGCCATAATACATTATTGTGACATGTGAGCATTGTAATAGGTATGTTACTGTCATGGCAGTAACCGCCGCTTGCTCAATTGGATCTATTGATATTTACAGCCTCCAACAGACACGCTGAGTTCGTATAATGCCGACGTGCCCTGTGTCCCAATTTTGCAGATAGACTCCAAAGTCCAAGTCCAATCGCTGGCGAGATCTCCCCGATCCCCGCCGAAATGTCGCACGCTCCTGGTATCCCTGCGATGTGCAGCCTGCACAGCTGATTACGCAAAGCGAGCTCGCAGCTGCGGCGCCGTGGTAGCTTATCGCTGACAGTATCGGCGGAAACCAGCGGAGCTCACCCTATTCTGCTAGAACTGCTAGTCGAGTGGAGCCGCTCTGAATATTGTACGGTGTGAAACAGACAGAACTAAGGCTTTGCTATTCTGTTATACAGCTCGGTATGAACGTTGGGTGTGTAGCGTTCTCTGGAAGACAACTGGAGCTTGTATTCAGTCTGATATCCATCTGTCAGTGCCGATAGTGGTAAGTTATGCGGGTTACTTCTCAGGCAGGTGCTGTGCTTTCGGCACGTGCTGAAGCGTCGACTGGCATTTAAACCGTATGTGTTGCAGACAGGCTGGATCCCACTCTGCCATCAGAGTTGTGAAGTGTTGACTGGTTTAC